GAGGGCGGCCAAAGACGCCGCGTCGTCCGCGAGAAGAGCCGCTCGCTTGAGCGAACGCGTTACGCTCGATCATCATCGAGCGAGGAATATAATTGGAGATCCGAGACGTGGTCGACTCGCTCGATACGAGGGGCATCGAAACTTACATCGTTAATCTTTGGTATCAGCCATCGTGTATCCGCCTTTGCTCGCGCCTCGTATACCGAGATTCCTCGCGAAACGTCTCGAGATTCGTCTCGCATTCGAAATCGTCTCGAAATTCTTCTCGCGAAGAAAAACCATCTTCCCCGTCCCTCGCGATCTTCGACCGAAGAATCGAACGACATCGTTCGTTGGTGCACGTCGAGTCGAGGCACGGACGAGCCCCGAGCGGACGATAAGATTGAAATAACAGTAACTTGCCACGATTCCTTTCCAAGTCTCGGCCGAGTTAATCTCGAATGCCGACGAATCGCGAGCGAACCGTGGAAATTCGTCGATTGGTCTGCGTATACTGATAGTCTTTCGGTGTCGTTGCAGAGTCGACAGATACAAGATATTTACAGATAACTCTGCCTCATTCGCTCTTCACCCACTCGCCCTTTCGCTCTTACACACTTACTCGCGATCCTAATCATTCGTCAGATTCCTCGCTAGAAACGTATCTTACATAAATCGCCTATTTTTTATCATTGTGTTTCACATGTTGCGTAACCGTATATTACAAGACGTGCGTAATTAAACGTTGATTTCCGTTTAGCTCGCGCGACGCTCGCACGCCTCTACCCCCCCCCTCCCCTATGCGGTTCTATCGTATCCTTTCCGATAAATTTATTCATTATATAATTCGCGATCACAGTGATTATTCCCCAACTTCTGAACGAGAGTCTCGGGAGAACCGGAAGCGTCCCCTTCTCCGTGTTCGTGTGAATTTTCAACCATTCCCCCTCCCTCCCCACCCATCATCTTTCCTCACCGATCCACGCGTTACGCGTCCATCCGTGTCCGTGTGTCACTCGGATACTTCGTTCCCGTTCACTTTCGCGTTTTAATTTTCTCTCTTCGTGTCCGTGCGCCGTTACGTGCGTCTGTTGGGTCAGCAGCGTGAACAGCCTCAATAACCGCTGAGACATCTGAGCTTCTTCAAGGGGGGTGACACCTCGTTTCAGCTGGTCGGCGCCTGCATAGAC